CCGAGGCATACCGCTTTTGGCATGGCAAGTAATTGTACTAATTGATCAACCCCATCAAGAACAATAAGCACTTTCTTTCCCATCACAAAGTTTTGTGCAGTTCCTAAATGACGAATCTTGATATCTTCTTGGTTAATCAATTGAGATAGAAACTGCTGCTCTAATTGCAACTTCACATCGTGATCATCAGAACAAATTGGTCTTGCATAACTTGGTTTGAATTTCATGAAAACACTCAGTTGAAAACCATCGGAGATTTGATTATGTAGAACTCTAGCAATGGTGCTCTTACCAATTCCAGAAGGACCCCAAATCCCGACCATCTTGCTTTTATCTGATGAGCTTAGGCAAAGCAATTGTTTCATATTTTCCATATGAGGTCCCATCCCAATCAAACCTTCGAAATCACTTGATGGTGTGTAACTAATCAACCTTTTGGAAATTTCAGTGACAATTTCTTTCACCATGGCAGCTTCATTTCCCCTACCAAAAAACAGAGATATTAATACATTTAGTTTGATATGTTGAAAGATTAAGAGCAAAGTAGACGAACCAGTTTCTTGAATCGTAACCAGCAATTGTAGCCACTTCCTCAAAAGCTTGTCTCCATCTCCAAATCTCCTCCTTTGTTCTACCCTTACAAGTTTTCTGAAAGACAGCTCCAAATTCTCCGGTCAGCTTCTTAACATGGGATGGATCAACTTCATAGAAAACTACAAACACTGTTAGACCAAACTTTTTCTTGCACTCCATAATCTCCACCAATTCGTCAAGACACCACTTTGAAGAAGCATAGTTCCTCGAGAGTAAGACAATCGCGATCTTAGATTCTCTAATGGCCTTAATGAGTTCAGGACCGATGGATTCTCCCCTCTTGATATCATTATCAATGAACGGAATAATTCCTTTTCTTTGAAACTCCTGTTGAATGTAACTTAAAATTTTTCTGCGAACGTCTTCCCCACGGAAGCTCGGAAAGACATGGTGAGTCCCGGTGCAAGAGAAAGAAGATGAAGGAGAAGTTGAAGAAGACAAAAAAGACGGAGGAGATGTTAAAGAAGAAAACGTGAATGGAGGAGATGTAGAAGAAGAACCCACATCTTTGTTTTCTTGATGGATCTTGAACTTTCTAAGAAAGATAAAGAAGCTTATTGCAGCAACAACAAGAATGGTAAGGAAAAAAGAAGAATCCATTAGCATAAAGATTGAGGGATGATCAAGATCAACAAAGACTTTTACTTCTCTGAAAAGGTATACGAAAGATTGAGAGAGGATCAAGATCAAGATCATTGACTCCGCAAAGTCAAATAGCAAGCTTCACGAATGTTTCTTTAGTTACGTGCTCAATGGGCTTTTATATTTATGGGCTATCTGATTAAACTAAGCTTTTAAAGGTTTTTTTGTTTGTCTTCTTCTCCTTCAACATAAAGACTAAAAAAACGTAATTGGTCCAAAATTAGTTACGGCTTGAGCTTTCTGTTTTTTTTTCCGGATCAGAACCTCGTCGACGTACTAGACGACGTTCAAAGATTTGCAAACCGGTTTACCATTGTGGATGAGAACCGGTTCATAGAATCTTGTTTCTCAGATTCTCTTCTTCTCTGTTTTTGAAAGCTCTGATACTTCAAAGTAAAGTAAACTCTGTTTCACGCCAGAGTCTATTCGGGAAACTACGATGATTGTTTACGTCGGTTCTCTTGGTTGCAGAGCTGAAGGAATTTGTGGAGAAAATCAATTGCGGAAGAGGAAGGAGAGAAGCAGCAACGATGAGGATGATGATAAATATTTTGGGCTTTTAATGTCTATGTATGCCTTTAGGCCCAAAATATCCCCAATTATACACTACGATTTGTTTATTCTATTTTTTTTTTTTCATCTGATTGGGCTATTTTGGGCAACGATGAGGATGTATGTTTATCATAATCCTCATCGTGATTATTAATTTGAAATATGTCATGAATTATTTAGAGTCAGTAACATAAGGTGAAAACTTTCAAATAAGGTTACAATCTTTAGCTGCCTTTACGTGACAACTCATATATATATATATATATATATATATATATATATAATTCTATAGGGTTGATTGAAGGTACGGTTTTATATTTCTTGTTGGTTGTGAATCTTTTGATGATAGTTTGGGGAGAAAAAAATGTTATAAAACTTCCCAAAATAAAGCAACGGGGATATGATAATAGATGGGTCATTTTATTTAGGGAATTCGTTTCTCATATTTGAGAGATTGTTACTATTTTGTTAGCTTTCATGTCATGGGGTTTTTGTTGACTCTAAGAACAGTGAGTCTTCTTCGTGTACATGTCGTGGTGTCATGTCCACATTTTTTTAAACTTCTATTTCACTCTCTTGTTCATTTATGCGATTATCACTTGTTTTCCTGTTTTGATGTCCAAGCCCACCATGTTGTATAGTTTTTTTGGTCGGTTCGAAATCATCCCAAACCAAAACCATAGTTGAATCCAATCAAATAAAACGTACTAAAATCTATTTTAGCCAAAGCAAAACCAGTTGTAAATCTAGTTAGAAAGTTGTAAAAAATGTAGATCATGTTCATTAGTTCATATGTCTTCACAAGAAACTTTTGTAACCTATGGAATTTCGGGAACTCTAAACTAGTCTATGAAGTTTGTGGAAGTCCATAGATTTTTTTTTTTTTTTTTTTATGAGGCTTTGTGCGTATTGAGACCCAAAGCTAACCTATTAAACTAGCCATTGGCTATGTCACTATGTGCTCCGAAATGGTCGATGTATAATTGAGCAATGCGCGTATGTGTAGGTATAGTATAATGAGGAGCAGAGTATGCACGTGTTATTGAATTTGTGCAACATGGTACGCTAAAATCAGTTCGTGGGGTCGCATATATGAAATTAAACCACAGTAGACTCGAAAAACATTTTCCTGTTGATATGAATTGGATCCTATGCATTCATTTCTGAATTCCGTTTCCTTTCCCGACATTATGTTCCTCATTTTAAACTGAAAAATTTTAATTCTAATAATTTTATCTATCCCCTACCGTTATTGAAACTTCACCAAGAAATTCAACACCTTATTTTAATGGCTTTCTATAAACGAAAACCCATAAAACATTTAACTTGAATAAGTAGGTAGATAACATATGTTTTCCAAAAAAAAAGTAGAGAACATATTAAAAAAAAAAAAAATTCAAATGACAAAAGATAATGTGCTATTGGGTGTATCTGCTAATGGTTCGTGTCAATGAGTTGTTACTTGTTAGTATCTTTGAAAAAGTAACGATCCATACTATAACATCTATTGTATGACACAAATTTAATGAAATTAAGAAAATATATATGCAAAGTTATTGACCAAAAAAAAAAAGAGCATAGGAAATGTTCTGAAATCTCTGCAGATGGACCGTACAAGTCTGCAAAAAATACTCTGAATCTGAGATAATGTATTCCTCTGCCAATTGATATCTTTTTGGTCAAATAAATACGTATGCTTTATGCTTAAAGTCTCACCAACCTAGGTATTTCCTTTGTATATATGGGCTAATATAGTGTAAATGCCTTTATCAAAATATAGTTGCACAATTCATTCATTAAAAAAAAGAAAGACTTTACATTTTTGAAAAAAAAGTTGCATTGTAGTGTGATGAATATTTCATATTGCGACGGAAATTCTAACGATAATAAGTCTAACCGATCCCTTATAAAATGATTTATAACAGCGACTTCTGCAACATATGGTTGGATAATTAATTTAAAAATCAGTGAATGGTACAATTGATATGGCAACAAGTAGTCAAGACTATATGAAAACCGGACTCATTTTTGAAGATCATCACATTCACAATGAGGATGAAACTAAACATCTGAAGTAGTCCCAATTTCACATTATGAAGAGACCGGCTATGTACATATAGAGAGAGTTTCATATAAACCATCAAAATTCGAGAGTGAGAGATACATGGGGATTGGTGAAAGGACATGTGAAGTGTGCGTGAGATAAATAATTGTTGTTAGAAAAGACGCAAGAGTCAAATCAAATGTATGCTTTGAGCCTTTTTGGCTGTTATGGTTGGGACTACTTCAGATTTTTAGTTTCATCCTCATTAAAATTTCCAATTTTCAGTAACAACCAACAACAACAACAATAACATTAATTAAAAGTAATATAATTCTGTAAATTGTAGGCTTCTTTGTAAAGGAAAACAAAATGTCAACCAATTTATGATATGGTTTAGTGGTTCAAAATGTTTATCTTTTAGTTTATCGTTCTACTATTAGCATGTTGATCATGACTGACCACTATGAATGTATTAAATGACAAGAATACTTAACGCTTAATTAGATAAATTTCGGCTGAAATCGTCTGGTTATTTGACAAGAAAAAGATCATATTCATAGTTCAAAATTCAAAAAAAGTAAACCACATTGGTTTACAAAAACTTTTGTTTGATTTTGTTTGGCAAGCTATCGTACGTAGAATAATATGATGTTTTGTTTGGGGCAACAAAGAACAAAAGCAGTTGAACTAAAAAAAAAAATGTTTAACAACTTTTCATCTCTCTCCACTTTTCCAAACACATCTCCACTGCTCACAACGTAGGAAACGTGTTCCCTGTCCTTTACTCTTTCTCTGTCCTACTATTTTTAAAAAATTATTTCTATCATCTCTATACGTTTTCACATTTATGGTTCTTTCAAAAAGAATTAGTGACAATAATTGTGAATATATTATCGGATTTTAGTGTAAATGTAGATTATAGCTATTTGGTTATAACTTAAACCAGAGATAATAATACTATTTATACAATAAACCTAAATTATGTATCTAGAATGTAAAACTGATTGTTGAAAGTAATTTACAATGCATAAATACAAATATATATTATATATCAGCTTTCAAATCAGTCCGTGACAGTCCATGAACCTTTTAACAGTTGTATAACAGCATTTTGTCAGAAAATAAGGTCACAACATATACATACACGCACATAGCTTAGAGCCATACGTAATAATATCACACAAATATCAATTATGATGTACAAATTCATATTTAATATTTGCTCTTCTCCTCCAATGAGGATGGAGATGGTGCATGCTGACGTGGCTTCTCTCTCCATAACACCTTGCTTCCCGTCTTCTTTGTCTTCGTCCTCACATCATCACTAACCAACAACAACATTGTATCATGTCGGAAGATCAACACCGTTGGATGGATCAGATTGCTTCATCGGACTACTTCTCTTTAAACATGGACAATGCTCAACATCTCAGTAGCTACTACACGGGTCATAGAGAAGAAGACATGAACCCTAATCTAAGTGATTACAGTAATTGCAACAAGAAAGATACAACAGTCTATGGAAGCTGTGGGCACTCGTCAAAAGCTTCGGTGTCTAGAGGACATTGGAGACCAGCTGAAGATACTAAGCTCAAAGAACTAGTCGCTCTCTACGGCCCACAAAACTGGAACCTCATAGCTGAAAAGCTCCAAGGAAGATCCGGTACGTAAATTCTATCGCTTAGTTAAGCTTTTTCAAGAATCAGGTTCTTGAAATTTTGGGTGTTAATATGGAACAGGGAAAAGCTGTAGGCTTCGATGGTTTAACCAACTAGACCCGAGGATAAATAGAAGAGCTTTCACAGAGGAAGAAGAAGAGAGGCTAATGCAAGCTCATAGGCTTTATGGTAACAAATGGGCGATGATAGCGAGGCTTTTTCCTGGAAGGACGGATAATTCTGTGAAGAACCATTGGCATGTTATAATGGCTCGCAAGTTTAGAGAGCAATCTTCTGCTTACCGTAGGAGGAAGACGATGCTTCCTCTTAAGCCACTCATTAACCCTAATCCTCACCTTTTCAATGATTTTGACCCTACTAGGTTAGCTTTGACCCACCTTGTTAGTAATGACCAGAAGCAGCTTATGTTGCCAATTCCTTGCTTTCCAGGTTTGAGTTTGTTTTTTCTTTCCTTTCGTTTTAGAGTTCCATATCTAAAATTGCAATTTTAAAATTTTCCATTTGTGTAACGTTTAGGTTATGATCATGAGAGTCCGTTAATGGCGGATATGTTCCAAAACGAAATGATGGTCGGCGAATATATTGCATGGACACAAGAGGCAACTACATTCGATTTCTTAAACCAAACCGGGAAGAGTGAGATGTTTGAAAGAATGACTGAGGAGAAGAAACCACCCTTTTTCGATTTTCTTGGTTTGGGGACAGTGTGATCATCATCATGAACAAGACTCGCTTAAGTTAGTTAACAAAAATTATGAGATGATTTGAGTCCTTATCGATGTAGTTATGTTGCGTTAATAGTTGTTGTCCTTAGTCACATGCAACATTCCTTACCCCGGGTTAATAAGTACGTACATATATTACCACTCGTTGGTTAAAATCAATGCTTTCATTTATGTACATGCCAAATTGTCTCACCTTTAACAAATTTGATTCGAAGTATAAACATGTGTACCACTTTATAGTTCTAACTAACTCTTATCTTATATGAAAATGTCAGATTCCGTCATTAATGTCCAAAATCGTGTAGAGTGAGAGTAACAACATGCTTCGTATATGAAGAGGAAGGTGACATATGTTAAAGCAGGGACGATGATGTGGAAATAAGAAACGACAAAGAACGATAGAGAAGTCAAATTAAAGAGAATAATGTACTATTGTATTTACTTGGAGTATGCAGAAATTTAATAATAACATGCGATATTGATGAGGTTGCAAGATTCAGGCACAGATTCTGCAACAGAAAGTCCAAACATCTACTCTTAAATATTCTCACACCCATTGCATTTTTTTTCTCTCCAAAGCAAAAACCTTATTTTCATTTCATTGCTCCTTACTTATGCGTCTCATCGACCTCATGTCACCCACATGGCCCCTTCTCTTAGTTATTTTATTTTGTAATAATCATTTGATTTATATCATGATACTATTTGTATACGTTATTGTAGTTTTAGTCCAGTTTAACTCATTTGTATGATTAAATTGAAATAATTGATTGATTTATGAAATTAAGATTCGATTTTGTATTAATTCCGATTTTTCACTAAACACTTCCACTTGCTAATTAGTTAATTTAGGTTCTATGAGATCCACAAGAAACGGATAAAACTGTAAGCATTCCTAGCTAGTGTGCAATGTGCATCAGACGGTCTAATGACTTGTGTACTTCATATTAGGCCAATTTCGACCACTCAAATCTATTGCTATTCCAGGCTTAGGCCCACCATCAGGCCCAATGTTTTTTTGATAGTTTGAATCATTGATAACCGAAATGTTTCAATTTCTCGATCGAGAGTACATAACATATTATAAGTCGATCGAATACTACCATTATAATTTATAAGTCGCATGTGAATATCTATATTTTGTTTCTGATTTAATAGATGTTCTTGAAAGGAGAAATAAAAAATAACGGATTGTATTGGTTAATTAAATCGAACCGTTGAAAACAGGATACGTGTTGAAGTAAAAAAAAAAAAAAAAAAAAAAAAAAAAAAAAAAAAAAAAAAAAAAAAAAAAAATATCAAACCATAACCTCTAAATTGTCCAACAAAAAAAAAAAAAAAAAAAAAAAACACCTCTAATGGCCAAAAGGAGTAAAGGACAACTAATAAAGGAGAACATTCATGTTAACGTAGCTAGTTCCTTATTAGTTAATGCAATAATTAAAGTATTCATAACTTTTCTTTTCGTTTATTTTTCGAAAAGAAAACAATTCTTCTGTTCGTTTCCTTTAAAAAGCTGAACTACTTTACGAGAACATATACGTATCGGTCTCTACATAATTTGGTCCAGGTGAAAGCTGAGAGGCCTCCTACGAGGTCTACCTAACTTTATTCCTTCTTTTCACATTTAAGAAATATATTTCATAACTTTAGTCATATGAATATTTGTCATTGAGAGGATTACCTAAGGCTGCAACATTGATTAGGTTCTGTTTTCAAGCTTCATTTGTTGGATCCTTGGTCCTCCTAGTACTAGCTAGTTACTAGTTCTTTTCTTATTTTCTGGTTGTAATGGTTCTGTAGTGCTTTGAATACTTTTTAGTGTTTTATTTAAGAAAATCCTTTAACAAAAAAAAGATTATAATGTTTTAAGTTAATTAATCATGTGATTTTTATGATGACTAGACCTTTTGGTAAGGAATTTTCCGAAACCCTTCCAAATTCGTTTGAGCTATCAATGTTGCGTATGGTTTAAATATTTGCTCTCCAAGTACATTTCTTTTCTTCTATCTTTCTCTCCACTCGAGCACCTCTCAAACTTTTGTGTTCCCTGACCTTTGTATCCTTTGTTAAAAATGAGAACTCACCAACCACTTAGAACAGACTTCCGGTTTGGGAAAAGAGTATGCGAAGCCTCCCGCCCTCCCCTGCTATTTCTTTAAATGTGACTGGGTTTTAAGCTTTTTGTACCTTTTTGTGCAGCTAAGTGAAAACACTCTAAAAAACACAGTCTTTATGCGCCTTCAATTTTCACCTAAATGTAGAATTCGTGAAGAACTCAAAAACAAATTAAACATTTATCTATTTTTTGGGGACGAATATATGAGCTCAAATGCTCAATTGTATAACATTTATTTGGTTTACCCCTCAACCATATAAACCAAAACAAAAGGAACTTCTATTAAATTATTAGACAATTGAAAGTTTTAAATGTTGTTTTAACGTTCTGTAATTAATCTGGATTTAAGTCTCATTTGAAATTACATTATATTTACTTTTTATGGAAGAGTCGAAAGTATTATCAAAGATTGATTTCAAATTTAAAATGATTTATGATCCAAATTTTGATATTACGTGGTTATAAAAAGGGTATGTAGAGCAATAAGGTATCCAAACGAATTAATGTAGTTATATTGCAATATAATAATTTATAACCAAAATGAGTAGTATAAAAGAATTAGTGAAGATGCAAAAAGAATGGAAAAGGACATTGGAAAAAAAAGAATAATTGCTTTTTAGAAAAAGAGACTTTTATGCTCTTCTTTTAGCCTTTTTTCAGTGCCAGTGGTTGGATTCTTTGCTTTAATCCAAAAATGAAAGTGAAAGATGCTCTGCTTTCTTTGGTTTCATATTCCACTTTTCTTAACTCTTATCTTAGATTAGTTTGACCCATTTACACTAAATACCAAAATCGTACAAGCTAATAATCTGAAACCTCATGTTCTTCTGACATGCATTTACCAGAGAGGACAATTCGGAGTTGAGAATATTTATCTCTTGGGTTCAGGGGCAAAAACGTAATTGTAATTTCACGATAGATCACGTAGATATTAATCTAAAGGTTTATATATGTTGCAACTTCATCACACAATGGAGAAAAATATCTACAACTCCAAAAATATTTCTGTTTGTGTACAACAGTAAATACTATATCTACTCTTAGTTCGAAACAACAAAATATCTACACGGATTTTCCTTCTTCCACAAGGTAACAATTAGCTAAACTCAAATATCTCAGTTCATGAATATATATCTATATCAGTGTCTGATTATTGTTGCATGCTCTCCCTGAAGTTCATAGCTCTAGACATCGCTGCAGGGTTTGCTTGTAGACTGTGAGAAGTTTCAGCGACCAAGCTGCTTTTGTTGCTGTTACCCTTTGTGTCAAATCCATTGAACAAACTGAATCCTTGCGTTTTTTTCTCGGGTTTTGTTGGTAACTTAGACCACACCGCGCTCTTAGTAGCTTCGCTATTCATTCTAAGAGATTCTGAAACCAATCTTGCTCTTGTAGTAGTTATTGTTGTATTAGTATCATTGATTCTTCCTTCAGTTTGATCTCTTGACCGTTTTCCTAAACCTGGTGAAGTATCGGAGGTAGGGTATATCGGAACCGTGCATCCCCAATAGAAGGGGACAGGGTAGAAACTAGCATTAGGACCCGTTGGACTCCATTGGTAAGGCCAAGGAGAAGAATTATTAGGTAACATTACTTGCGGAGGAAGAAACCCTTGGTAGGTTTTGCGTTCTTGAGAAACTGAATCAGCGCTTATCTTTGTTGTATCTCCAGACTGATGTTTACCAGTCTCTGTAACCGAAGATTCCGAAGAACCGAAGCTGAGGATCGTCCCCGAGTTATTATTATCACAATCCTCAGAAGTGACTTGCAAGTAATGGTTTGAAGAAGCCCATCCTTTGTTCTTGCGACGACCTGAGCCAACGGGAACGTTCCTCATGGAACCACCAGCTGTCCAATACCTCTGACAGTTCCTGCAGAAGTAACGTGGCTGGTTCACGTTGTAGTTGTTGTAATAACAGAATTTGGTGTTTGCGCTTTCACATCTAGGACATGGAAGAAGCTTGTCTGGTTTCTTGAGAGCCGTTGATTTCTCTCCTGATGTAGTACTTGTTGTCGTGATCTCGCTCTGTTGATCACAATTGTTCTTGGAACTTCTTGGTGATGAAATCTCAGATACTGCTTTTGGCGGTTCGTTTAGATCTGATAATATGTATGGATCTTTGAATCTGTTACTCTCTTGATCACTTTTATTTGCCGGAACCTGAAAATTTTGAAGAATTTTGATTAGAATTAGCAAGAGGCATGACTTACGGATATAAACATTCACTTTTTAGCCTTTTTAGTAACAATAACAAAGTAAAATTAGCTTGGTGAAAGCTGTTGAATCTGGCATGTTTTCTTAATTCAACTAATTTTTTTTTTTTTTTTGTTCCTTAATTATGCAATATTTTCCCATTAAGAATTCATGGAAATAAAAAGTGGGATTATCAGATCGAGATTGACCCATTAATAGAATCCATCAGCCAAGAAATGGGTTTGTCTCAGAATCATAAAATTGACCCGCCATGGAATCTCTCAAGAAGTTCGTTGATTGATTAATTAATTAAAAAATAACACACAAAAAAATAAAAAAAAATGATGAAGATTCTCATGACGTACCCTGATTGGTCCAATAGTTGGAGAACAAGAAGATGAAGAAGATGACGAATCCTCCTTGCTTTGATCAGAAGAAACATCGTGAACAGGGGACAACGACGATTGATCATAACGATTCACATCTAAAAGAGATGTGATTGTCCTCCCAAACAACTTTATCTCCATATCTCTAGATTTAGACATAACTAATTATGAAGGTCTAATAAATTGTTTCCTCTGTTTTTTTCTCTATGAAGATCGGAGGAAAAAAAAAGAGTATGAAGAGAAAACAAGAAGGGGCTTGAGGTTGGTATTAATGACGATAGATAGTGCATAGAAGAGAGAGAAAAGTACACGTCAGAATAGAGAGAGAGACATGTAGAAATATGAGAGCCACATGTTTGTGAAGAAAGTGGGCATTTTGAGATCTTTTTCACGCTCTTTTTGATTCCCCTTTCTAGTGGCGTTTTAAAGATTTTCTCACCTCTCTTTGTTTTGCCACGTCGGATTTTAAAAGGA